CGTAAATCCCCAAAATATATCGCGCAACCTCAGTCTTCTTTCAGAAAAGAAATATTGAGCAAACATTGCGCGCAGGAGTTGTTACAAAATAATAAATATCGTGCAMCATAAATTCCTACAACCCCCCACCCCTCCCCCACAATTAAATAATGGTAACCCCTCTCCCTCCCCTCCCCCTCCCCCATTTATCTTTCTCTACTTCATACCTTTTCATTATATGTGTTGGTACGTTTTTTTAGCTTCGTTGCCACGAACAACAGTCAAACAAATGTTACTTTGGTGAAAAAATACGACGACTGGCTATACAACTGGGCCAGCTCCCTAGAAAAGAGAATGCCGTGGTTAGGAAAGACGAAAGGACTGCTGACGACTTCTAGCCATGATAATTATAGTGAATGGGGTACTATCGTTACTGATATATTAAAAAACAACCCTGCTCCATGGATAGACTTTCTCATGGTCAACCCTGGAGTGATCTGGTACTGGGTCAACGAAGACGATTGCGGATCCGACAGAATCCCAGGTTTTTRTATCTATACTGTAAAGCATGTCTAGATTTTACGAAGATGTAGGGCAAAAGAAAATGTACTATGAGAAGAAAMCCCCTAGCCCATTCTTGAGTATCCTTTAATGCTATTTTTAGAATCATTGACGCTATTTTTGGTTTTCTGCACGCGCGTACTGCGTGCACTCTATGCTATTTACTTTTTTGTGTGTTTTCCAAAAACAAAACAAGAAAATGTGAGCAAACAGAGTAGAGCGCGCCTGCAGAAAAGCAAACAATGAAAAAATGATCCGAGAAAAATACCTTGTGATCAAGCAACCCCAGCTTTTCAAACCCCTTCACCGCCTATGCATTAAGTCGATTATACGTTGAATGACATTATAAAATATTTGAGATATAACGCGCGCRCTGATTGGCTGGCTACCGTGTTTTCATCAGAGGACGCTCGCGCAAAATCGTTCAAAAATATTTTATAAAAGCAATATAAAACGGCTGCTTATGTCTTTGTATTGTGGTATAAACACTCTGGGAGCTGTAGAGCACTAGAGAAGCAAGAGAGAAACACTCGGCTACAGGGCCGTAGCCACCGGTACGGTTGGTCCGGTTTCAACCGAACCAACTTTCGGAGGAAAATTTTTTTTTTAAATTTAAGAAAAATAGAAATAATAAAAAAAAAACAATGAGAAAAATCATTGAAAAAAAGATTTTAAAGAATGATTAGAACGAGAACGAGAACGAGTCAAGAAAAATTACTTTCGCAACATTCAAAATCTGAGTACTTTAGGATGGGTTTGAAAAGATAAAATTGTAGGCTTTCCCTATACTTTTCCTTGCTCCCCTCCACCTACTCCCTACCCCTCCCCCCTCCCTTGAAAACCGAACCAATCAAAAGTTGATGGCTACGAACCTGGGCTACGCGTGGCCAATCTCCCAGCGTGTTTATATTACAGTACAGAGACACACGCGCGTGTYTTATATTCATTAGTTTGAGCATTATTAATGTATTACCGTTAATCTATACCTTTAGTTGATGGAGGACTGTCATCTTGGAGTGCTTGGAATGGATGCAGCCCATTGTGTAACGCGATAAATGGAATCCAAACACGAAGACGTTTATGTTCTAATCCAGCCCCTCGATGTGGTGGCAGATCATGTGATCCTGCTGACTTGGTTCCTGAGAAGAGACGATGCAGTTACTGCCCGAGTAAGACACATTTTATTAAAAATAAATATTAATAATGTGATCTGTGGAAGACTTTAMGGGCTGCATATTAAGGCGCTATTARCAGCCGTGCAGCTTACGATCATGAGTGAATTGTTAGTACATTAGTTTTATGCCTCAAAATTGGGATAGGCTGTTGAACCCTGACAGTCTGCTTCTCTTATGCCTTATATTCCCCATTTTCAGGTCATCTCATAAATAGACCCTTTTTTTCAGTTCCAAATTACCACTGTCTTCATTAATTACAGACTCTTGGAGTTAGGCCCCGTCCACACGTATCCGCAAATTTTCGTATCCGCACATTTTTGTATCCGCACATTTTTGTATCCGCACATTTTTTTTGCGGATACGGGTTGCGTCCACACGTGTCCGGAAATTTTTGTGTCCGTATCCGCAAATTCTACGAAAACGGATACGTGTGGACTGTGAAAACGATTCGAATACGCTGCGTGTGGACGCAAACATTTTCGTATCCCCAAAAAATAATTTACGGATACAAAAATTTCCGGTTACGTGTGGACGGGGCCTTAGCTTCGTATCATCGTTTAAATATTCACAAATACCAACGGTAAAGTAAAGAATGCACAACTTCGACAATACAAACACTTTGAAACTCGACGGACCTTCGCTGGAACATGTGAATATTCTACACAAAATCGAAGGTAACTCTGAGGTACAAAGAGCTTGAAACTGGAGTATTGATATGAAACCCTATAAAGTTTTTTTGAGCCTGTTGTTCTATATTTTCTGTGTTTCATAGAGAGTCCCATTAAAGGACCTCGTAAGTTCTGTATTCAGCCAAGTACCGCAAACTGCAKTCCCCCTGAAAACACCAGGCTAGTCTACAAAAAGAACACCAATAACTGCGAYGAAGATTACATGAACTTTCTCTTCGACAACGATGGAATGCTCATGCATTTTTGCAGCAGGAAATATGTTTGTCCACAAGGTAGGAACCAATCGTTAATTGTGGTTTTCAATAACTGTTAAATATTTAAGGAATATTTCCATTGAAAAATGGGGGAAAAAATTTCAGTTACGCGCACGTATGCTGTGTGTAGCCTTGTGTTGCAATATTGCAACGATTAATGCTTATCATAAAATGACTGTTATAAATCTCGCGTTCGGATTGGTTGGGAGCGTGTGCTTTATGAGAGCGCACAGCATGCACGCCTGCACTTTCAGTTGCGTCATTCCTACCTAAAATAACGGTTGCTCTAATTTGTATCATAAAAAAAATCAAAAACTTGCTTTCTGTGCTGCGTGGAGTTATAAAGCACTTGCGTGTTGACATATCACTAGAGAAGTGTCGAGAAGCACTCCTCTACGCGTCGTGCTTCTCTTAACACTTCACTGGTGTTCTACCAACCCCAGGGTCGCTTTATAAAAGAGATAGAAAACGAGCGCGCGTGCTATGTTGAGTTGTACAAGCACGCGGGAAATTGCGTGAGCCACAGAGAAGTGCTGAGAGAAGCACGAGTCGGCACTTCTCGTGGGCTCACGCAATTTCCCGCGTGCTCGTATAACTCAACATAGCACAAGCAAGGCGAGTTTTCTGTCTCTTTTATAAAATAACAAAGATATAACTAACGATTAACTCAAAAGAAATAATAAAAAAACATAAGAAACGAACAAAACATCGCGCGCGCAGCTGACGTCATTTCCTCACGGTCTATGTTGAGTCATATAAAACGGTAATTGACCAATCAGAGCGCGCGTTATATCTTAGTTATTTCATAAAACTGCACACAGCACGSGCGCGCGTTTTCTATTTCTTCATTAATTATGAATAGTCAGCAAAGAGAATAATTTTAAGACTAAATTCTTAACCTAAATAACTGTGTTGTTGACGGGGACAATTTCTAATTTTGCAGGTGGCCAAGCAGACTACGGCACTCCTTTAGTACTGAGCAGCTTCTGCAATCAAAGTCATGCCACGTTTGAGATAACTAAAGTCAAAGGTTTGAGACACAAGCAGTCAGGTAAATGTGTGCATCCTAACATGGGAAGCGTTGCTGAAGGCATACATCTCGTTACATGGGATGGATGCGGGTCTTCTAGACTGAAGTTGGATTTGTTCAAGCTACGGGAGGGTAAGTATTTAGACAGTAGCTTAAACCACTCTTTTTACTTCTTACTTGACTAATTGAAGGTATATAGGTTTAGTACAAATACGCAGGTGATTATTGAAAATCTCGCGCGCTGATTGGTCGAGAAACTCAGATTATCACACGATAATCACCTCCAGTGATAATACAAAATGGCGGCCAGCCGCTCTGTTGCTGTTACCTAATTTTAAATGTGTCTTTTATCTTCTTTTTTTTCCGAAAAAATCACATGTGTATTTAAAACAATTATTCACCTCAGGCTCAGTGAATATCGGGAATAATAACCTCAACTTCGTTTTGGTTATTATTTCCCGATATTCACTGAGCCTGAGGTGAATAATTGTTAAATAACCCAGTTATTTATTGGCTTTACATTATGTACAATTATGAAGAAGCGTTTATAACTACACGGTACAGCAAGCACATTATATTTTTTAATAATACAAATTAGAATAACCGTTAGTTAAAATGTATGAATAAAAAAGTAGAAAGTGCGCACGTGTGCTATATGCTCTCATAATGCATGCGCTCCCAATCAATCAGAACGCGAGATTCATATTTTACCATGCAGGTATTGTATAAAACATTTTGTTCGATAAATCGCGCTAAGAAACGTTTCATTAAATGGCACCTGCGAACCTATACGGTACATATAACCTTAAATACAGCAATTAATTGCAACTCAAAACGATACAAACTGGATTAAAACCGAAAGAAATTTAAAATAAATATTATGGATGGACTTTTGATCTCATTTAGATAATGTTCATTCAACACGTCCTTCACAAACTATAGCACCAACTCCGCGTAGCGTGTCAGCATCTAGAGGTATGAATGTGTTACTGAACTGCCGTGTTACAGGGTATCAGTGTATGGCTAACTCACAGAT